TTTTGATTTGCATAATTAGTTTTCAGCTAAGTAATTTCGAATTATATTTAATGTGTCTCCAATACTCTCAGCACATGGGAGTTCTTTCTAAGCTTTCTTTGATTACAATAGCCATGCTGAGGTTTGACCTTTTGTATCACAAAACCACTTCGCAGACAGTGCAAGGCACAAAAACTCGCAGTAGCCCAAGGCACAGAGACCATGGATCGTTGTCCCAGGGCTTCCATTTCCCAAAATTAGAAGTTCAATTAAAAAATGTTCAAATGTTCTCTACTAATATACCAAAATATCAAAGTATTGGTTGTCCTACACAAAGTCAGTTTGTATTCAAAATTGTGTTCTTGGCTTTAAGTACCCAACCACTGATGGACTAACCAACATTATTCATTACTAGCTTTTTAAGTTTGTAGCCCACTCAGGCTCCCACAAATGTTTTTTTTTAATTTCGAGCCCTGCAGTGTGACATACAGGACAAGTGTCTTTTAGTACAAACGTTATAAACAGCTTCATCAGTAATCAGATACTTTGTTGCATTTAGGAATTACCAATTACTGATGTTATTCCACTTGATTGATCTTTGATGACATAATTTATGACATCAGGGCTACATGGTGTGACATAAAATAAACAAACCACACCATAAAGTACATGACATTTGTTGACCTGTGAGGCTTGCATACTCAATAAAGACACAAACACAGGTGTGACAGGTGTCCATAAGTGCAGACTGGAATTCATCACTATAAATGTACAGTGTACAACATAGCTGTATTCTGTCCACTCAGCTTATTAGTCCCCATTCGGACGTAGTTCGAAAACGGGGACTTGCCCTGTGTGCGTCCGTGCATCTGTGATCACCTGTATCTCGAACATGCATGGACTGATTAAGTTCAAACTTCACTCATACATCACTCATTATATGGGACATATGCACATGCATTTTTTTCATGATCCGATTAACGATAGCCGAATAGCGGCCATTTTAAGGCCGAAAATGCATCAAAATCACACATTTTCACCATTCCGGACCCGGATCTCAGTTATGCATGGACAGATTTTGTTCAAATTTGGTACATACATTAAACATAATAGGACCTTGATGCACGTCATTTTTTTTTT